AACCCACCATCATCATTACTATCACCACAATACTGTTATTATCAGTTTTATAATCTTCATTACCAACACCAATACTGTCACTTTCCCTGTCAATAGCTCACGTTCAATGTTTTATACATGAAGCATTAATAGTTTTATATTTTACAAAAGAGGAAAAGGAGATGCATAGTAATTAAACAATATGCTCAAAGTCACTCATAGTTACTGGCCAAACTGGAATTATAACCCAATTCTGTCTAACTCTAGGGACAGTTCTCATTTGTTAAATAAACAGTGTGGTGACCCTCACTTAGCATACTTCCTGTAGAAAGGGGCTCTTCTGGTGAAAAAGGACAAGATGCTAGGACTACTTCCAAGGTATTCTTTGTTGCTGTGGGCCACAGGTACTGTAGGGAAAACAGTCTCATTTACATAAAATTTGCATACAGCTGCAGAAAATGAACCCGATTTCCCACCACTTCAAAACTGCATTGTTTCTGCCTTGAAAGGGAACTTCCCACACACACACACACACACACACCCATCCCCTAATCACCCTTTACACAGTCGCCCTTTCTGGGGTGGTGTCCCTATATCACCTCTCTGCAGGAGGCACTCTCAGCCCCCACTTCAGAGGTGACCTTGGACAGGGACCTCTTTCATCTGGGCCCAGCCTCACCACCTATAGCAGTGTTTAGCAGAAATGCAAACATGGGATAGGAGGGAGCAAGAAGAATCTGAGGAGCACCACTTCAGTAGGCAGAGCTGTCTACAAGCCTAAGCTCCACTAGACAGCTGGTCCCCAGAGCCTAACTACCTGGGCTGAGCAGGAGTCAGAAGCTGCCTCTTAGAGCTGCTAGGCATCTGTCTTGCTTCGCTCAGCTAGCCTCTGGGAGCTCTGCCTCCTCTAGGTCCCCACTTTCAGGGAAGTGATCTGATCCTCTCACCTCCCCTCTCTAGGAGGCCTTTCCAAATTATCTAGGCCACAGTGATTTATCCTTCATCCTCCAGCATCACAGTGCCGGTATCTGTGTAGCCACTCAGTGGCAGCTTCTAATGAGCCCTAAGGACACCCCCTGAGCCTAGTCCATAAAGCAAGAATGTCATAGCTAGCCACTCACAGTGCTACCACTCCCCACCCCAATCTGGTTACCAGAGCCAAACAAGCAGCCATTTGCTTGGACAGCACGGCAGGGAAGATACAGGTGAGGGTCATCAGGCAGTGCTCCTACCAGCTCTATACCAAGGTCCACCTCTTTGAGCAGAAGTTCCTTCTGGGACCAAAGCAGGTGACTGAGCAAGGGAGGGTGAGACGCACTGTACTTTCTATAATCCCTCTTTTAACCTTGGGTCCCAGCTATCTGTAAAAGTTACGTTTTATGTTTTCCTATCAGAGTCCCAGACCCCACCCAGCTCAGACCCAGGGAAAGCTCAGACACAGAGCACAGCATAGGACTGGGATGTTTCATGGTGGCCACAGGCCTAGTACACTTGACACCTGAATCTGCTCACATCCCAACCCCGGGGACAGCACAGTCTCCCACACCACTGAAAAACCCATGTTGCAGCCATGCTAGAGTGATGAAGCCCCACCCAGTCATAGTAACTGAGTCAAGGAGCAACCAGCCTTGAACCTGGCTGCCTGAGTCCAAAGACATTCCTAAGTAGCTAAGGATACTCTGAGATAAGGTAGTAAGACTAAGCTCAGGAGCAAGGTTTATCACGTACTCTGTCTGAATTTAGGGCCCCTGGAGCCACAGAGGGCCAGCTCTGCCAGACTTTCCCTGCATTGAGAGCCTGGTATTTATTAAACATGGGCAGACTGATTTAGATCTTTGCCTGAGGTTATTGTTCTGCTCCATATTCTCTCACAGGAGGACTGATCAAGTGGACACTGTTGGGGATCTCTATAGTCAGAAAAGGGCACAGCTTGGGGGCCCAAGCCTAAGGGGACTGAGTTCATCCAGGGCCACCTCCCTGCCCCCCACAAACTGTCCTTTATAGCTTCTGAAAACACAGTTCACATTTACATTTCTCAGCAGTCTGGGGAGAAAATCTATAACAATCTGATCAAGAAAATGAGATTCTCCAGTGTTCCCTGTATCCAGGTACATCACGCGCAGCTCAGGCCTCAGTAAAATCCAGTTGCTGTTTATTTAACTTGCTTGGCCTCCAAATTAAAAGGCAGCTACCTCTACCCCAACATACACTCACCTCTCCCAGCCAATGTTTCCACATGGTTTGCAGCCTTGTGCCCAGCAGCTGGCCCTTTTTCAAGGGTCCTGCCTGCATCCTGCCTGGAATGTGGCCACTCCTGACATTCAGCATTAAAATAGAGCTCCTAAGAATACCATTACAGGTCAACACTTGTAAAAAGCTCTGTAAATCCAAGGGCATGCCCTGGAAGGATACAGAGGAACCCTGGCCCATTCTGCTCTCCTACTTTGCCTCCTCTCCACCATGAAGTGAGTCAACTTATTGCACCACGTGTTCCCCATTACCATGTGCTGTCCCACGAGGCCAGAAACATAAAGTGACCATGAACTGAAATCTCTAAAACTAGAAGCTGAAACAAACCTTTCTTGTTAAGTTGTTTATCTCAGACATTTTGTGTGATGAACAAAAAAAGCTAACATAGAACACTGGCACCAGGAATGCAGCCATTGCTGTGACATATCTGATGATGCGGTATCAGAAGCCTTTGGAACTGGTTTGCAGAGGACTTTGGAAAGGTTTGGAGGTGCTGGCTGGAGAAGCAGTCCTAGAATGCTATAAGCAAGATTTGATGAGTGCTTCTGATATGTGCTCAGAAGACCAGAATGCTGATAGGGATGTGGGCAGTAAAGAGTGTGCTCATGAGGTTTCAGATGGGAACAAGGACTCTACTGGGAATTGAACTAGAGGCCATCTGTGTTATAGTCTGGAAAAGAAACTTGTATACATTTGGTTCTTGTCCTGAGACTTTGTAGGAGACTGAATTTAATGCTGATGAACTAATTAATTGGCAGAGAAAATCTCAAAGCAGCACCAGCATTCAGGCTATGGCATGGAAATTCTTGGCTGCTCTTACCCAGATTTACAGTAAGAATGGGGCATAAAAAACAGAGCAGAAAGAGTTGAAAAGCTTACAGTTTGGCTATGAAAAAAAAAAAGCTCATGTGAAGTTGGGCCCAGTGAAGGTAGTTGTTAAAGAGATTGGCACCATTAAAAAGAAGTCAGGCACTTTGTACTGGGACAATAGGAAAGATGCCAAACCTCACTCATTGCAGCCTCAAGGCTATAAAATTGTTAACTCACTTGAAGGACTTGTGTTTAAAAACAGAGAGCTGAAGGGCCCTGCTCACATAAGCCCTGGTAGAGAATTGGCTTCCTGGGATTCACTTCCTCATGTTCAGCATGGTCCAAAGGAGCATGGCTACTTCTGCCACTGGTGGTAGACCTTGTCATAGTTTATGTGATGCTTTTGTAGGAACACAGAAGGCAAAAATATGTAGAGTGAGGGTCTATCTGAATTCTACAGGAAGGCCTGGAAGGCCAGACAATATGTGGTGAGGTCAGAATCCTGTGGGCAACATTTGATAGGATCATGTATAAAGTTATGAGAGTGAAGCTGAAGCTACAGTGGAGACTCCAGGAAGTGAGAGATGTCAGAAATGTAGACTACCAGCCAAGAAAAGCTGCAGGGAGCAAGCAGAGGCAGCCCAAGGCAGAAGTCATGTGGGATAAAACCAGCAAGGTTACAGGAGTGGGACTGCCAACGCCCTTTGGAGCTCAGTTCACATCATGGTATGCTCTGGATTTCACATATGGTGCTATGTTTGTCCTCCTGGGTTTCAGTTTTACTTTGGTCCTATTCTTCCTTTGTATTTTCCTGTTTTACTCTTTTGGAATAAGAATGTTTACCTTGAGCCATCATGCTAGGATTATGTAACTTGTTTGTTTGCTTGTTTATTGGTTTTACATTTTTATTTAGGAGGTGTACAGCCAAGAGTTTGCTTTGACTCTCAGAGGAGACTTCTGACTTTTCAGTAAGGATGAAATTAAGACTATAGGAACTCTTGAAGATAGACTAAGGCATTTGCTTTGTGAGATGAACATAAGCCTTTAAAGGCCAGGGATCTGGAATACCCCTGAAGACTTGGTTCCCAGGTTGTGACACCCAGGGAGCTGACAGGAATTTTAGGAAGTGGGCCCTATCTAGAGTAAGTAGCACTGTGGGGCATGCCCTTGAACGCTATCATGGGACCCTCTCTCCTTCCACTCTTCCTTTCCGCTTCCTGTCTGCTACATTGTGAGCAGCTCTGCTCCACCAATGGTCCCCACCATGATGTTCTGCCTCACCACAGCTACAGAAGCAACGGGATCAGCAGACTACTGATTGAAACCTTTAAATTATGAGCAAAAATAAACCTTTCTCCCTTTAAATTGTTCACCTCAAGTATTCTGTCATGTCAAAGAGCTGACCAATACAAAGTATATTTATCTCTACTCTGACAATACTTAACATTCAATGGACTCTTCTACTCTACCTGCATTAATTTTTTATTGGATAGTTCTTGCCTTTTAGAAAAGCTTGCTTTCTATTCATCCTATATTTTTCTTCTATATTGTTTCTCTGTTTTGTTTTGTTGGTTTTTACCTTTTTCATTTCTTAATTCAGTGAGGATTTTTGTTTATATTTTTATTCCATTTTTACTAGTTGGAAGCATACACTAATGCTATTATTTTGTAAGCTGTCTTTGCCTTTTTATTTCTTTTCTACTCTTTGTGTGTAATTCAATGAAATTGTGTCACACAAGCTGATTCATGTAGCCATCACCACAATTAAGACACAGAACTGTCTCACTACCACAAGAACATCTGCATGCACCCTTAAACAGTCCACCCATCCCCACTTCCTGGTCTTACTTATAAATCTACCATTGTCAATGTTCCATCCATTCTTAAAATATAACCCCACAAATTGGCCATTCTAGTCATTATGAACATTTTTTTTCTTAATGGGTACTGCATTTACCCACCTATTTGCAGGATACTCTTCTTGTATCACAGATCCTCCTTCTTGGATTAGTTCCTCCATCCAAAAGTCAATTCTTTGTGAAAGTCTCTTAGCAATAAATTCTTGCAGTTCTCTTTATGAGATGTCTACAATTCATCTTTGTTCTTGAAGAAAGTTTCATTGGTTTCAGAATTACAAATAATCAGTGATTTTTGCTCATGTTTTCATAGGAACCACTCTTTTCTGGCTTGTATTACTGATGATGTAAAGTGATCTGTCAGAAAAATGCCACCCACTTGCCTTCCCTCCCTCTCCCTGTGGAGTTCCCGTTTCCTCAGGATATGTACAGATGCATATCTTTCCTGTGATTCTGGCCACCCTCATGCTTCATGTGTGTAGTCATGGAGTCACATTAGGAATGTGCTGAATTTCTGACTACTCTACATCTTTTAATTTCTGCCATAGTTTGTATATATTCTATCTCTGCAAGATTGCAGTTTCCTTAGACATATTCCCATTAGGTCCTTCTTACTTAATATGCTAGGTCTAATATGCTGCTTAATCCATATGCTATACATTGACTATGGATAGTGCCCTCCCAAGGCCCATGTGTTAGAAGCTTGTATAAAAAGCTTGCAAGGCCATGAGGGTGGTGCAGGTGAGCTGGTAGAAGGCAAAGGAGATGAAGACTAATGGAAATAAATTATTGCCTTGGGTCACTGGGAGTGTGTCCTCAAAAGGGACTCCAGGGCCCCAGTATCTTCTTGCTTCTTGCCTAAAGTGAGAGGTTTGCTCTGGTATATACTCCTTATGATATTCTGCCTTACGAGAAGCCCAAAGTCATGGGGCCCCTTAATCATAAATTGGAAACTCTAATACCAAAACAACTTTTTTCTCTTTGTAAGTTAACTGCTTCAGGAATTTTGTTATAGTGACAGAAATCTGACTGATGTACCCATTCATCAAGTTCCTTATTTGAAAAGGCCATATTGCATCTTTCCAGATGTGCCTGATCACTGATCATCTCTTAGTGCCCATTTTTGTGATTCTTGCTTTTATTTTTTAAAATATTTCATTGAAATATATTATGTGTCTGATCATTTTCAATGACTGGAGTGTTTTGTGACTAACACTGTAGTTTCGTGATTTTGGCTATCGATGGTTCTTTCTCCCAATTTTTTTTTTCAATGGTTAATCCATCAGTGATTTCTGATTGGTTTCACTAGATTCTCATCCTGAAGGTATACTTCTGCTGGAATACTGGGCCTCACAAACATGCCTGCCTTCAATCTCATGGCATCTGCCTCCTCTTTCTTCCTACTCCAGCACTCTGGTTCGGGGAGGAGAGAAGAGTGACAGGTAAGAGCGTCACTACCTTGCTTACACCTTGTAAGCCTACAAACACTCAAAAACAAGTTCTTTCCATGTCAAACCGTTCTGTAGTGGAGTTTTCTTCAGATATGTCTAATTTTCTACTTTTCTAAGGACCCGCAAAGGTGGGGGCCCTGATCTTGCTCACTTGGAGTCAGACAGAAGAGGTACATTGGGAATGTCCTCATTGGGAGGGCAGCACAATGTGAGGAAATTGCAGAGAATTAGCCCCCAGAAACCTGGTTGCAGCCCACTGCAGAAATCTCCCAACCTGAATATCACTCTGCTAGCACACCACCACCCTAGGTATTACTGCTGGCCAAATGGGGCACCTGGAAAGGTGTTTCTAACTCTGAGGGAAATTATCCAGGCCACCCTGGCCTGTCATCTGAAACACACTGTAAAGGCCCTACATCCAGAGGCCTTTATAGGAGCACAGGGACATCACCTCTGGGTCACTGAGGCCTCTGGTGCCCCAGCTCAGGATTCTGTCTCTCTTTTCGCCCGTTGGGTCCTCTTGCAGCACAGGATGCTGCTGGCCTGCCACTCCTTCCTCCTGAAACCTCTCTAGCTTCTACATAGTAGCTCCACTCCTTTGGGAACTGTCATAGCTTCCACCCTTCCAGGTCAGTCCTAAGGGGGCCTCACCCTGAAGACCTTCAGGCAGCTCCATATTGGGCAAATCTAAGTTGGGGCAGACACTCACCTGGCATCCCAATGCATCCCCACAGATCCTTGCTCTAGGACAATCACATTGAGCCTACCAGCCTCTTAGCAACTTGCCCTGTACTCTAGTTTCTTTACCCTCCTTGGAGACAGAATGTAGAAAGTGCAGACTGTGAGATGTGCTGCTCCACTCCAGCAGCTTTCCCAGTACACTCTTCCCTCAAAAACATAAATCTGATGACTCTAACTCAGCCAATATCCACTGTTCTTCTCAGAGTGCCCACAGCTCCAGGCCTGGGGGCAGCATACCTGCACCCTTGGCTCTGCTCCTGCCACCAGCACTGAGCACAGAGACCAGGCATTTGCTTTTCCCAGTATTGCCTGCTTCTCTGTACCTACCTGCCCTCACATCCTTCTCTGCTCTCACAGCTGGATAAGCCTGGAAAGAGGGCAAAGAGCTTGCAAGGGCATCAGGGAGACACACCAGTGCCACCTGCTCTGCCCTGAACTCAAAGTTCTACTTCTCAGCCACAAAGCAGACATGGTGCAACCATATTCCCCAGATTTTCCTTGCTTTTAAGGACCCTGCCTCCGTCATAGCACTAGGAATTGAACTCAGGACCTTCACATTGACTTACACCCCTGGAGCTTTTGTTTGTTTGTTTGTTTGTTTAATTTTGAGGCTTGCTCAGTAGAGTTGCCCAGGCTGGGCTCAAACTCCTCATCTTTATGTTTCAGTCTCCCATAGTGCTAAAATTACAGGCATAAGCTATTTTACCTGACCTGCTTTTGAGGACTCTACTGGAATATCCTTTCTTCAGAGAAGCATCCTCAACCCATGAGTGTCCAACTGTGTCCAACCATGGCCACCTTTTTTTTCTTTTTGTCCCCTTTTTACTTTGAGTGAAGAGGAATTATGTGTGACTGCATATAAAATGTATACCACAGTATAGTTTATGTACATAAGTAATGGAACTTTAATACTTTTATTATAACACTTTAAAAATGGGGAAAGGTGGGTCACAGATTAGACAGCTGCTCTAGGCTCAAGAGTTCCAGCTCTGCTGACTTCTCAAATTCGGCAGAGAGTTGGGTACCTAGCCCCACCACTAGGCTCCTTTCTTTTAGTTACAAAATTTCCATGGGGGGCTTAAAATGTAGGATATTTCCTAGTTTCTATTGTAACTTACTTATGGGCAGCTAACTTCCAGCCAGTTGAGATGAGAATCAGGCAGAGACACCCTACAGGCAAGTGGGCATGCTATTGTTCATTCCTTCCCTGCCTCCTGCGACCTGGAACATGAGTGTGATGGTAAGAGCCCTGATGCCATCTGGGACCATGAAAGACACAGTGGAGAAGGGAGATGAATTCATCTGAGACTCTAGGGGCCATAAAGCCATCCTGCCAACCGTGACTGTCAATCTCCAGGATTCCTTTATATAAAAGCTGTCATGCCTATTTTCTATGAGACAAATTTCTCTGGGTTTTCTGTCGAATGCAGTTAAACTGAGTTTTAACGTTTGCTAAATATGTACTGACTTGCTTAGTATGCGTTTTCTGCAGCACACTGTGAGCTCTTGGAAGCCTTTCATCTGCCCTGTTCACTTCTGTGTCCTCAGTACCTAGCACAGGGCCCAACCCAGAGGATGTTTCTCAAGATATGACATGACAAGGTCAGGGTTCAAACACAGGGTTCATTGTGTGACCATGACTGGGTTTCAGTATGTAACTAGGGTGAAGGCTCAGTGTGTAACTGTGATTAAGACACTTGTGTAAGATCAGGATCAAGGTTTACCCTGGAATTAGTGTAGGGCTGTGTCCAGCATAAGACTGTAATACAAGTAAGTGTTCACTGCTACAGGAGAGGTAAATACCACTATTCTGGATATGTTCAGTAAATAGGATCCAGAATGAAGATTCACAAAGGCTTTGCAGAGGTGTTGGCATGGAGATTGATCCATAGCAGGATGAAAGACTGATCTTCTTGAGGAAGGCCGTCTAAGGAGACACAGTACAGAACACACAGTGTCACTTGTGTCCTGTGGGGTATGCACTGGAGGTGGCCAGGCCATGGTATGGAAGAAGCTGAATGTGGGGCCACAAGGCTGGGTTTCTTCACAGACACAATTACTGATACACTACCTGCCCCATGAATCACAAAACAAGAACATCCCTCCATTCATCTCAAGAACACTGGCTTTGGCCCCGACTGGCTGGGTCAGCATCTCAAGAATGCTGAGACTAGGCACTGCCTGTTCAGACCAGCTTCTCACCTGCTGCTTCTTCCACAAGGTCAGCTGGATACCCAGGGCACTGAGGCCCCAGTTCCCACATCTGGCTCCTACCTGCCCTGCCCTGCTGGTTCCTAAAAGTCATCCAAACTATGTGACAACAGATTGTGCCTTCCAGGTAGGAACAGGAAATCATGCTGCCCACAGAGGGAGTGCTCAGTCAAAGGAGATGGTGGGTAGGAAGGATCTGAAGCCAAGGAGGTGTTCAGGATGTCCTACAGGAGGCTAAAGGCAGAGGCATGGCCACCAGAGCAAATGAAGTCCAGTGCATTCACCAGTCAGCGCTACCATTGCCAGTAGGACCACTTTTTATGCTGTTATTTTGCATTTATGTTAAAAAAAACTTGCAAGAAAAATTAATAGGTAGCACCTTTTCCCATACCAAGTAATATATATCCATATATATTTGTGTACTTATAAAATAGATATAAAATTGGAGGGAAATAACTCCAGAGTCATAGACACAGCTCTCTTGGGCCAGAATCAAAGACGACACAGGGCTCTAGGTTTTCTGTGTGTAGACAGCTAGAAAGCAGGACAAGAGCCACACTGTCTCACACTTGGGCCTTCTAGGGAGCCACCTGAGCTACTATTTCTGGAGCTGCAAGAGCCTGTTTTCCCTGTCCCGTGCCTGCTTACCTGGCTGGAAGGTGTCCTGCATAGACTCCACACCACTAGCTCCAGATGACAAAAGTGGGGGATGCCAGTGGGAAGCGTGGCTCAAACATCCCTCTACCTCCTTCAATGGTATCACTCTTGAGTTGACCTTGGCTTTAGCCCTCCAGGTCACCATACTCACAGGAAGGCAGTAGAGCACCTCAGGAAGATGTCCTACGTGCACCTTCCATCCTTTGGAATCTGAGTATTCCTGGCTCCCTTGGAGGTCCAGTATTCTGCTAATTTTTCCTGCCTAGCACATAGCAGGAGCTGGAGGCCAGTCCTATATCTTGTCTGCTTTCAGAAGGTCTTCAGACTTGGTTAGGTACCTTGGGGGCTGTCCTGAGGGCCTTTGGCCAGGTCTGTGGGCTACACTACCAGAAGAGGCACTATCTGGAATAGAGGACAAGGCTTTCTGTGCTGGGTGTGCAGCCATCAGTTGCTCCAGGGTCCAGGTGAGGGCCTTGACATCATCAGCCAGCTCCTGGCTCTGCTCTGCCAGTTGCTGTAAGAGCAGGTTCTACTGGCCCATCTGTGCATTCTGCTGCTGTGACCACGAGGTCACCAGAGCATCTTGCCTCTGGTGGATTCTAACAGCTGCTGCTCAAATGCAGATGCCTCTAATGTTGCCAGTGGGGGGGTTCTCTTGAAGGATGAAAGCAGTGTGGGTCCCAGTACTGAGGGGAGGGAGGGCCTGAAGGTAAATGCAGCTGCAGGAGCCACCAACTCAGGGGAGGAAGGTAGGGAAAGTGAGAAAGTGGGCATAGAGAAGACTCTTTGTAAGTCTTGGGGGTCAGGTTCAGGAAGGTTTGGCCCATCCATTGTCCATAGGAGCAGCTATAAACATTTAAGGGCCTCATTCTCCTCTTCAGCTAGGAGGAAGACAGGAAAACATCAGTCTAGGCTGCCACAACCAGACAATATGGCACAGATGAGTGGGGTGGGGTCAGTGGATACAGGAGGCCCTTGCATTACAGCTGTGCTGGGCATGGTCCCCACTTGGGAAAACAGGGATTTAGGATTCTACCAGGTGAAGAACTCTGCTGTAGCACTACCAATACTGAACTGCAGGCCAACTCAAGTATCACCATCACAGTACCTCCCACCTGCTATCTAGTCACTTGTCCCTCTTCAGACTACCCAGTGGTCTATTTATCTACCCACCATTCTGTCTGTCTACATGACTATATATGCCTTTCCTTGAGTCTCCAATTCCACTCATCCATCTATCCATCCACTAGTTTATCAATCTTTCAGGAAGTTTCCATCCATCCATCCATCCATCCATCCATCCATCCATCCTTTTTCTTCTATCTTCTTCATTATCCACCCACCCACCATCCAACTATCCTTATACTTACCCAAGCCTGTCTGTCCTTCCATACACACCTATTTACTACCTATCTGTGCTTTTGTCCTCCCTCCCACCTTTCCTTTTCTTTCATCCATCCATCCACTCATCCATCTTCCCAGTCAAGTCTTCCAGTCTATCCCAGTCAGGATACTCATAGTGGCTGCAGGTCAGCAAAGTCTCAAAAGGGGTTCTCAAGTCTCCTCTGAGTCACTTTCACACAGGTCTGCTCTCCCTCCCTAAAAGCTGCACTTCTCTGAGCACTCCCTGCCCCCAGACTAGAAGCAGAGACTGATCTGTATGGTGGCATGGGAGGCAAGAGAAGGCCCACTGAGTCCTGAGAGAAGGGCAGAGCCTGGAAGAACTGGCTGGCCCTCCAAGACAAATGGCCCCCAGGGCATCACTGGGGCAGCATAAGCAGCATGAGGCACAGTGCGTTTGTCTCCTCAGACACATAGCCAAATCACTCCTCTGTGGGCAGACCTGCTCTCTGCCATGTTCCCTGCCAGCCAGCTGGAGAGACCTCATTGGCTGTCTCATAGGTTCAGTGGGTGAGGAACCAAAGAAGAAGGCAGCACTAAGAAGAAAGGACAAGGTGCCAAACACCACACACAGGTACCACGTGGACCTCAGTGTAGGCTCCTTTCTTCGCCTCCCCAACCTGGGCTTGGGGCAGTGGCCAGGCTCAAAGAAGAGCCCTTGAGCATGGCTTTCTGCCTGGCCTCCCAGAAGGGTGAAAGACAAAGGATAGCTGGTTGGTTCTTCTTACCCTCACATGACTTGGTGTCCACCAGGAGCTCTTTGGCTGTCTCTGCATCTGCAATCAAGACAGCAGCAGACAATTTGTACAGAGACTTACTGTCTGCTCCTGAAACCAGCCCTAGGGTAACCCCAGGGCAGGTAGCTGAGGAAGCAGCCAATCTACTTGTTTCTATTCCCACAGGATTTCTGAGATCACTCCCATATGAGTTTTGAGGGAGGCCCAGTTTCTAGAGTACCAGAGGGCACATAGATGCAGTCTAGGAGCCACCTGAGCTTCTCCCTTGTGTGGCTATGGGAGTCATGAAGGACTCAGAAACGCAAGCCACACCACTGCCACACCATCCTATCAGTCCTATACTATGTGCCCACCCTCACTTGAGGCCTCTAAACCAGGCTGCCCTACCTGAGAACACCAGGTACAGGACCCTGCTCTAATGATAGGTCATAACAAAGTTCTTGAACTTCAGGCCTGACTACAAAACTTTCCTCTTGCCCTGGTCTGACCCCTAGATCAGTACATAGGCCAAGGCCAGTGCCCAAGTGTGTCTTGTGCCCAGGAACCAAGGTGGAGATGGAGCAGCTATAATACCAGGACTCCAAGTTCTACCAAGCCACCCACTTACCTACATGGGACCTTCACAAGGGAACTGGTCCTACTCCTAGGGTTTTTACCTAGTGTCCTTTCTGTAGCTTTTGGGGAGAAGTCCAGCTTAGCTTTGAGGCAGGAAGAGTAAGGAGGAGAGGGGCCCAAGCGGAGGAGGCAGTGTCAAGCATCTGAGCTAGCACCATACACAGGTCAGAAGCACTTCAGACTAAGGCAGACACACAACCAAGAACAGAAACTTTGGGCACAGGTGTCCCTAAAGTGGGAACACAGACAGCAAGCCTTGAGGGCTACAGACTATAAGAACATGCCTGGAAAGGGCCTATAGAGGGTTTCTACCAAGTCCAGAGGGATCCTGGGGCAGGGGTTGCTGGGCCTGGATGCTTCCCTGGCTCTGCCTAAATTCCGCAGTGGTGGTGATTAATCTGCAGGTCACACCCTATACTAACTCATGGCAAGGGCAAGTTCTGTGACCTTGCCTTCCCATATAGCTACTCCCCAGGCTCCCTCTGTTCCAGGGCTGGGTCCAGTTCAGAGGAAAAGAGAAGGAAACAAGTCCTTCTCCCTCCCAGTCACATCTCCAAACCCATATTCATTCAGCCTGTTGCCCTACACGGAGAAGTGAAGTGGTCCTCACCCTGCTGGGACCTGCTGATTGTTAAGACCTGGTGGCCTGTAACAGTCATTCCCTGAGCTTTGTGTCATAAGTATGCCCATGAGCAGGCTTCAGAGACAAGATGGCCAGGCCAAGGCTGGTACAGAATAGGCTTCCTGCCTACACCACAGGAGCAGTCAGACAACAGAAGCCAGGATGGGGCTTGGCAGGGGCCCTACCCTGCTCATCTCAGAAACTTGAATCTACCATGCTCTGGCCTTGTCTCTATACCTTGCTCAGCTGTGAGATTAGAATTACTAGGTCCTACAAGCTGTACCTTAAACATTATGGTCCTCATGCCTCCACAGTGATATGGATATGAGATCCCAGCATCCTATCTGGACAGGACAGGGGCATCCCAGTACTTTACTCTGGGCATGCTTCAGGTGGCTGCCTGGGTGAGATCCCTGAGCTCCTCAAGTCTAAAAACCAGTGCTACTGCTATGAAATTTTCAATGGCTCTCAGGATTCAGAACTTATGACTAACACAAGGGTCCTTAAGGATCTGATAGTCCTCTGGCCTCTCTGTGCTATGTTTAGCAACCCCAGAAGGATCCTAAGCTCAAGGCCAGGAGGAACCTGGCTTTGAACCTTGATTCCTCTTCTCCAAACACAGGTTCTTCCTAGGTCCTAGTCTCAGTTTCCTTATCCTGAGGCAGAAAAGGCTCTGAAGAATGATCAGTTATCTTTGTAGGTCTCCATCTCTGCCTCGGAGTTTCACTCTTGGGAGGCCATACACCAAAAGACAGCCAGAACAGGGGCCCTGGGTGGCCAATACACTATCTTTCCTGGGCAGAGAAGGCCTAGAAGGCCACTATGAGGAGGGCCACTTACTTGGCAGGGACTCATTCCCCTGTTCCCCATCTTGGGAGGGGCAAGGCTGAGAAAGTTTCAGCTACCATGCACTCCACAAGTATTAAGACAAAGGCTGGGGCCAGGCTCTCCTCCACCAGCTTTTTACACACAGTGCCCCGCAGGTCCCTCCACTTGTGTTTAAGGTCACTTAGGTTGTAATAGCAGTAGCCCAGTGAATTCACAGACTGCAGGATGAGGCTCCACATGTGGTGCTTGTGGACAGACACAGTCTGCAGTGCTCCAAACAGAAGTAGGTAATGGTGAGCCAACCTCTGCAAGAGCACTTTTGTCTCTTGGGGGCTGAATTTGAGCTTTTATGTCTTGGTGGGGATTGGACCCCTGGCTGCAGTGAGTGGAGCCTGACCCCATCCCCTATAGCAGGGCCACCTCCACTGGCTCAGGACTGGAGCTCTGTGGGCACATGGCTTTCCTAATGCTGGATCCTGGAAAGGCACCAGAAAGTAAGCAAGGAGCCCAGTACATAGGCTCATGGTTCTGGTCCTCAAAGGTTCCTACATCAGTGCTCTGATCACAAGTGGTCCATATCCACCATATGGAGGTCATGGAGTCACAGCCAATCTTAAGAGTTCCTGCTGGCCTGTCTTCTAGGTGCCACTGCTGCCTGTGTGCAGGTCAGTCCAAACTTGTCCCTCCCTTTCCTGCAGGACACCCACCAGGAAACACCTAGGATGGTCCATCATGGGGACTGGAAGGCATGTGGGGTGGAAAAGTTATTGGGAACACTGCACATTTCAACCTTGACAACCAGCTGCACCCCCACTGTCAAAGCAGATGGCAAGCATGGGGGCAGGAAGATGAGGAGACAGCAAATTCTAAGGAGGGGGATTCATGATGGGGGATGAAAAAGCCCAGGAAGCACTATTCAGGGCTAAATGGAGGTGCCAGTTAGGAGCCTAGCCTCTGGAGGGTGGGTGGGCAGGATGAGACATAGCTCTCTCTATGAGGCTCCTGGCATAGGTCTTCCCTACTTGGGGAACAGCACCCCAGCTAAGAATGACAGATAACTGCTTGGTTCATGATACTTGGCCCTCAGAACTAAAGATAGGTTGTCATTGCCAGAAACAGTCCCAAATGCAGCACCCATGTGGCCAGGGGCAGATGGGAAGCAAGTGGTAGGTGGAGGCCTCTGGGCTCTGGGTGCTGACTTTACTGGCCAAGGCTTAGGCACCCAAAGCTACCCTGCTTGCGTTTTGCTGTGCATCCCAGGGCCCAATGCAGAGAATCACAAGCTCATGCTCTGCTGGCTCAGCCAAGACTTGGGACTTCCATGGCACAGCAGGGATGGGTCACATGCCTGCAAGCTCTTCAAAGGTTACCTGCACACCTCTACCCCACGGAAGGCCAGGGGCAGCACTGACAGAGTTTTTGAGGGTTCACACTGGGTAGGTGGCCTACTGTTCCTGGTGCTCCCTGGGCTTTGAGCCAGGGAGGAGGCTGCAGCATGTGGAGTCAGAGCTAGACTCAACCCTCACAGAAAATGGTACTCAGTGGTTGCTTCCTTTTTAAATCGTATGGACCTAACTGGTTAGGCAGGGGCTCCAACAAAAACAGGAAGGTTTTTAAACATCTTTCCCCTCACTGACAAAATGCAGATGGCCATTTCCTGGGACCAGAGCTTTTGGGCCTCAGGGGAAGAGGAGGGGAAGTCAACTTAAGGAGCTCACAGGTGACGCACAAACAGGTGGGGGCAGGGTTGAGCCTGCACTTCTCCCCAGTCCTCGCAAGGGGTGACCAAGACATACCAGGTAATGAGCTGCAGAACTGGCAGATTTGAGCCGGGCTTACCTGGTCACTCTGTTTTGTGTCCCACTGTTGAGGGTAGGTGAGGGCACTGTGACTCTCAGCCTCTCTGCTCCACAGATGCCTTGTCTCAACTGCTCACCATGCAGCTCAGCCATTCCCTCAGGGGGACCAGGTAGGGCTGCCTGGGACCTGGGACCATTCCACCATGCCCAGGTCCTCATTGGCCCTTCCTGTCAGGGACCCTACACTAAGGGGCTGACTGCCTTGGAGCTCAGCCTTTTCATACTACTTGGTCCCAAAGAACAGAGTAGCCTAGAGACAAGGGACATTGAGATAACCCAGGTATCCCAGTTTCTCTGGGAATAGGGAACCTTGCAGGATACTATGTCTTAGCCAGGCCTGCAGGCCCCCACACCTTGCTCCACACCTATTTCCAAAAGGTAACTGGGTAGCTTGAGACCTTGGGTGGTAGAAACAGAGGCAAAAGTCCCTGCCTCAAAATCTCCAATGCTCTGGCTGCACCTGCCCCAATGCAGGGTAAGTCTTCTCTCCGTGGAGTTCCTAGGCACGTACCCTGAGGCTTCAGACTGAAGAGCGAGGAAGGAAAAAATGGCCAGGACCAGAGCCCCGCTTGGGCCTCACTCCTCTCTACCCACACCTAGGAGATGATGGTCTGAGGGTAGAGCAGGTACTCACTGGTGACATTGTGCTCTGACACTATGGAGGCTAGGTCCTTGATGGTTTGATTCACATTCACCAAGTCACTCTGGAGAAATAGGATATGACACTTTTGGAGCGGGGGCTACAGATACAAAGTTAATGGGGGTTCCCTGTGTGGAGAGAGCCTAGACCCAGACTGCATCTAGTGACCAACAGTTACCCACTTCTGTTAGAAGAGGAGTCATGGAGCCAAAAAGAGGAGATAGGGGAGGGTCTGGACCCTCAGTCTCTTCCCTCCTGGACCAAAGTCCAGGTTTTCCAAGCAGCCCAGGACCAAGGGCTCCTTATAACCCTAGGTATTCACAGCCAAGCTTAGGACAGCATCCCTATCACAGATGGAGACCTGACAGGGAGAGACTGGAGGGTGTCCAGGGAAGAACATTTGAACATTCTGTCCATA